TATATCTTCGAAAATAATGAACGGATTTTAATGATTCTTTTTATTTAATCTAAACGTTTGTGTTAGTTCTATTATCCCATATTACTTTTGTCAAAATTTGATTTATTTTATATTCCTGTATTTAACAGGAAGTCCTGTTATGACTACGACGTGATGCAAGCCACGTCGAAACGTCGGCAAAAAAATAATATTTACTGGCAATTTTTCATCTTGTTAAATCCCAATAGTGTATTTAAAATATGTGTCAATAACACGAAAGTTTAAAACTAAATTAGGTTTTTTAAAGGAAAAAAAAATCCAATATTTAAACGTAACAAAAAATAATGTCATATTAAGTTACTAAATAATTGTGTTGTGTTTTCTATTCAATTTCGTTACTATGTAAGAACTAAGCTCATAGATTTGTTTTTTGATAGGTGAAAATGGTATGGTAACCCCGCCTGCGCTAACGGGATACGCTGGCGGAGCACCAGTGAAGGGTGATAGATGAGAATGAAAACAGGCCAGTTAGCCCATCATGATGAATTCATCAGGAATTAACCATGATAATTTCCAAGGAGAACCGCGAAGAGGTCGACCTGGTTGGGGTATATTGCTAGCAATGGGATTCTCAGTCTCCATTACTAACAATCCCTTTCCCCCCTAAGCTCATAGATTAAAGATAACCTGCGACTAAGCTAGTAGCACAAGGTCGGCAACAATACTTTTTTCACAACAACAAAAGCATAATGTTAAACAGCTTAGGATAAAAGTATCCTAACATATATAACGTATTTGTAAAAAATAACAACTATAATATGCACATATATAAATATATAGCATTCCAAATTAAATCCAAATGCGTTCAGCCATTATTGCATGATTTGATATCAATCATCCCAACGTAATATTTCAGAAACTAACATTTATGATATTAGTATGATTCGGCCATTTTGGGCGAGGGAGTGTTGCCAAACGTAATATTATTGTAACGTTATTTCAGACTGCTACGATATGTACATCAGCCTGTTATAGGTCAAATATGACGTGAAATATAGTCTATGGTTAAAATTGTTGGATATGATGCATCATGTCTGCATTGCGAAAAAGGAATACAAGAGGCCTGGCACACATAGGCATTATCTATCAGTTAATAGCAAACTGCATGGGGGGAAGACATTGTTAGCAATGCGGACTACCAGTCTCATTGCTAGCAATATACACTATCAGGTCGACCTCTACTTGCCCCCCCCCCCCCCTGAAAACAATCGTGCTGAATTCCAGGTGTATTCACCACGATGGGCTAACTGACCTGTTTTCATTCTCACCTATTATCCCTGACTGGTCCTCCTCGACGTATACCGTTTTTTTTATGGGTGAAAATGAAATGGTAGCCCTGCCTGCGCTATCGGTATACGCTGACAGGGTACACGTGAAGGGTGACAGGTGAGGGTGAAGGCAACTCAGTTGGCCCATAGTGATCAATTGAACAAGAATTAACCACTATGGTTTCCAGGGGGAACCGCGTGGAAGTCGAGACCTGTTTTTTTTTATTTTATTTATTCATAAACAAAAATTGGTATTTGAATGTCATATATAGGGATAGGGTGTATTGCTAGTTATGGGGAAATTAGACCCCATTACTGACAATCCATTTCCCCCCGGATCTAACAGTTTCAATGCTAGTAATATGTCCCTGTCAAGTCAACCACCTCACGGTTCCCTCTAAAAACCATCGTGGTTCATTGTCGTAAAATTCGTCACAGTCGACTAAATGACCTGCTTTCATCCTCACCTATCATCCCTCACTGGTGCTCCGCCAGCGTATACTGATAGCGCAAATGGGATTACCATTCCACTTTTACGCGTTTAACCTTTACACCACGGAGGTCATCGGATTGACCTTCACCTTTGTAATTTATACTATTTATAAAACATAGCACCTTGATAACCTTCATTCAATCTAGGTATTTACTTTGTGGCATTATAAGCAACTGATAAGAACATACCTACCCATTATATAAAAAGGCCGATGACGTCATTGCCATCTGTGTGTATGTATTGTCCGTCCTATCTGGGCTTAGATATAATCATCAAAAGCACGTGACTAGGTGTGTATCCAAGTAACGAATTTACTTGAGCATAGTGTGGCCTTTTGCCGTGTAGTCCGGCATAGAATGGGCCATCCCTTCATTCCCTGAGGGTGTCATAAGAGGTGACTAACGAATCATGGGCTGTCACCTATAGATATGGGCAGTACCATAGCTTTAACAGAGATACTGTTTCGCCCATGATACTGCGTCCCATGCGTCGCTATTCCTGAGGACTTAGGTGTTATTCCCTCTATACCCTGTAAATTCACTGCCACATCCCACCCTTCAAACCGAAACACAGCCATGCAAACACAACTGCTTCACGGTAGAAACACGAATGGGACAGAGGTGCCTAAGCAAACGATTCTTGTACAAAGTCTCCCTCTGATATTAGCTATTATATATATATTATATTCTATATCAGTTGGGAGTTTGGTGATATGTTTTAACCTTTTTCAGACACCAGCTCCTCACAGCAGTTTTTCTGTATTAATACAATCTTATTTTATCCTAAAATACATCATGTGTAAATCTAAGTTGTTTGTGAGGAGACAGATATAAATAGGTATATTATTATTATTTTAGCTACTGAAAAACATTGACTCTTTTCATGATAAATTTTCAGTTTGAAAGAAAGTATCAAAACAATGTAATAAAAACGTTCTTTTTAATGGATGATAATGGAATAGTAACCCTGCTTGCGCTAACGGTAGCGGGGCACCAGTGAGGAACGATAGGTTACAATGAAAGCATGTGCCACCGTGATGACACCTGGAATTCAGAACGAGTTTCCAGGGGCACCACGTGGAGGTCGGCCTGGTAGGGTATATTGCTAGCAATGGGACTGGTAGTCCGCATTACTAACAAGCCCTTTCCCAAAAGTTAAACTGGGTTTGTAGGAGGTATTACATTCTTATGAATAAGGGCGTAACTAATATTTTAAGGAAAAAAGATTTGTCTGTTTGCTGATTACTTTCTTTATTCTTTATTTTACACAAAAGGTTATTGGAATGTAAAAACAAACATAATAGTGCACAAAGGCGAGCTTATCTCCAATAGAGATTTCTTCCAGCAAACCCAATATGAGAACAACTGACAGTTCATTAGTAGTTACAGTCATACGCGTGTACCGATCGACTTAACTGTTATAGTTAAAAATAAATAAATAAAATCTCTTTACAATTGATAATTATAATATAATATATAATGGATAAACTCAAAAATTCCTAGTACAGATTAAAAAAAAAAAAACTCATTTACCTACAGAAAGTTAATTATCAACGAAAAACACTAAGTTATATATTGTTTTCTAAAATTCTCCCTCGACTCGTGACAAACAAATTGCAAGTGGTTTATAAAAATAATAATTCGGTAGTTAATTATTTAATTATTGTAATAATTCATTATTTTCATTATTATTTATTTAAACATTATCTGATTTTTTTTTGATGGGTGAAAATGCTGTGGTAACCCTGCTTGCGCTAACGGGATACGCTGGCGGAGCACCAGTGAAGGGTGATAGATGAGAATGAAAACAAGCCAGTTAGTCCATCATGATGAATTCATCAGGAATTAACCATGATAGTTTCCTGGAAGAACCGCGAGGTCGACCTAGTTGGGTATATTGCTAGCAATGGGATTCTCAGTCTCCATTACTAACAATCCCTTCCCCCCAACATTATCTGATTAGAATGTCATACATACTTAGATTATTAGAGACAGGTAAAATACTTAGGTATCTTACTCCGCGCATTTTACAAGGTGATTTCAAAGTCGTTATACGTATGAATTAGAGATTGTGTCCTACAAAAAAAAAAAACTTCAATTAAGACAAAACCTACTGTTTTCACTTAAAATCTAAACCGCTGAACCGATTTTGATAAAATTCCTATAAGACTATGCTTTGAATATATTCTTTCAGATACAAAAAAAAAGGATTTTTAAATCGGTTCACAACTGACGGAGATATGAAATAATAAACATAAAAAATATATATATAACCGAATTGAGCACATTATTCTTTTTGAAGTCGGTTGAACAATATTATAATCATGGAATATAAAACATTACAAGTAGGATAAAGATTTCGTAAATTAAAAATACAATTACAAATGCATCGTGTTAGTATTGGCAGGCTTAAAATTATTTGTCATTTTTAACTTCAAAAAATATTTTCGGTTGCATTTCTTTTTTTTTTATAATTGTTACCTCATAACTCCATCAGACGTAAACCAATTTGGAAATTTCCTTATTTATCTGAAAGGATATACTTACGGATTGGTCCAATAGAAATTTTATCAAAATCGGTACAGTAATTAAGTTTTAATACCAAAATAACCCGTTTTGCCGCAATTAAATTCTGATTTTGCACCACAATCTTATTTATTTCATTTATAATACCAACCCATGAGGAAAATACCCCATACCATAAACATATATCTATGTAAATATATATACCTATATAAATCTCAATATTATAGACATGTAGTATGTAGCCTAAAAACTTCTTAGCTCAAAGTATAAAACCATATATTATATACCTAAACATCTATTTGCTGAAATATAGAAGATAGGGACTGTAGTAAGATAGGAAATCGTATTTATGCCAATTATGGTACAGCTTTATGGTGCAATACACCGTGGTAGCTATAGGTACCAATCAACACAACACTATATTACAGAATAAGGACTGTACATAGAGGTATGGCTGTAACAAGATTAATAGTAAACATTTCCCTATTTAACTATATCTATATTAATAACTATATACTAATTACTAACTAGTACTGGGCATGTTGGTTCCAGACGAACTATCGATACCATCCCATGAGCCATAGACAACGAACACGTCGTCTGGTCCCCACGAGGCACTGCAGCCACGTCGTCACATGACTCAACCGGAGGTTTAGGTAATGATCACATAGCTACCTTGTTACGATGTCTATCAACACCTCCCCCGATGGAGTCGACCACACCATATCACTAAAACACTACACGTAAAGTCCACCTGCGAACCGAGAGCACCATCTCACTAACGGATAAGGACCTTAATACACGTTCCCGAATGATAACGCGGCCAAACAAAAAAAAAACCGGGGGTCCTAAGAAGGTCGAATCTGGTATTTTTTTCTGAAAAGCTGGCAACGTCGCGCCAGTCGCCGGACGGACGCGCGTACGGCCCGCGCGCCGCTCATTGGCTGAATGCGGCGGCGGCCATCACTGCGCGGCTGGCGGTCGGCCAATGACGCCGCGTCCCGCACGCCCCGCCCACATCCTCTCAGCCTGTTGAATGAATTTCGCGGCAGTCGCGCCGGGGACATTCGACGTGTTTTACGTGCTCAATAATGTTAAGAGAATGGTTCGAAAATCGAAAGGACGTGAATTTAGATCTCAGTGTCCAAATAAAATATAAACAAAATAGTAGAAGTACATTTAAATAGGTTATTAAAAGTGTTGTAATAGCTTATATAATTAAAACAAAATAAAAAAAAATACATCATGCGCAGTAGTAGGTAAAATTGTAGATGAGAAAATCAATTAAGGTAGCGATGTAACATAGTGAAATCAAAGTGTGATTGATGTGTCTCAATTACGGTTAAAAAAAATAAAAATTATCTGTAAATGTAAAAAAAAATATACTTTTTCCTTACGGTATTATCTTTGGCACCGCCATTTTTTATTACCTGAAACAAGAAATGCATAGTAAAAAATATATCGAAACTGTTATGACCGTTAGCAATCAGATGCAGTACCTAGCAACTGGCGAGAAATACAATGAAGTAATTACAGTGGACAAAATTAGTGGTAGTTAGTTCCACTTCGGCTATTATTCGCGCTACATTGTTCAGCGTTCACGCCTTACAATTTTGTAGACGTCAAGTCGTTGATAAGTATAACATTACTGCGCAGTAGGTAAAATTTGAGATCCTAATGAATTATATTTAATTCATAGACAATATTGCGTGCCATAAAATTTTACCTTTTATTAAGGCTTGTACATTTATTTATTAAAAAAAAAAAAAAGGCGCCCGGTACAGAGACATTTTTTAAGTGACTTTAAAAATAGGTTCCGTATTAGATAGTTTTTTTTTTTTTTTTATGTAGTAGTTTTATATCTTTGACAATTCTGAATAGATTTTTATACCAAATTTTTACGATCGAAAAGGTTTACCCTACGCTGGTTTCGGTGAAATATATTTTAGGCAATTAAAATTTTTGTATTATAAAAATATACCTACCTATTAATTAGATCATTATTACAAACTTATTAAAGGTTACAATGGTGTAAAAAATAAATGATTGTACGTAACAAATAAGATGAGTCATGGCAGCAAGGTCAAGGTCATTAAGACAAATTTAGCTATCTACGTACTTTGTGGTATAAATAAGTTACAAAATACGCAGAAAACGTTTATGATCTAAGTTTCGTGGTAATCTTAAATGTAAAATATAGCTACCGTACATCCTGCGAATCATTTTGATTAAATATGGACAAGTTATCCTGTTTCACTATAGGATAGGTACCATCTCTGTACCAAATTTCATATAAATATTTTTAGCCGTTTGGGCAACAAACATCTTGGTAGATTACTCGATATTTTTTTATGAATGGAAATAGGACGGTAACCCCGCCCGCGCTATTGGTATGCGCTGGCGGGGTACCAGTGAGAAATAATAGGTGGGAATAAAATCAGGTCAATGTATGATTTCACCAGGAATTAGTTACGATGGTATCCAAGGGGGTACTGTGTGGAGGTCGTCCTGTGTATATTGTCAATAATGAAACCACTACCCGTGTGTGTTGATTCCTACACACTGTTTATACTCGTATAAAATATAAGCTCATATACATACATACATTATATATATATATATATATATATATAATGTATATATATATAATCTGACATCTACGTAGGTATGAGGTTAATTAAATCACGTCGACCGTTTAATTACCCCATAACGTTTTATCAAAGATATTTTATTGCCACTGTTTATAATGATAAGGATATCTATATATTGTAGAGTAAATAAAATAAATACCTAGGCCTTTTGTTTTAATCATTTATGGTCAGCTTTATTTATACCGAACCGAGGTGCCCTGGTTCCGATAGCCGTTGGAAATGGCGGCCGATCGATAAGAGACGACTTTATTTGTGAACGGTGACTATCCAGTTATAGAATTCTGGGCTGGGGACCAAACAACGGCTGGAAATAGATAATCTAGTTGCTATAAATCCTATAAATATTATAATTGCGAAAGTTTGCAACGATCTATGGATGTTTGGTACACTTTCAAGCAAAAACCACTGAATGGATTTGAACGAAATTTAATAAACGATTTTTTAACAGATGAAAATGAAGTGGTAACCATGCCAGCGCTATCGGTATACGCTGGCGGAGCACCAGTAAAGGATGATCAATGAGAATCAATGGTTACTTAGCCTATCGTGACGAATTCCATAACAATTAATCACAACGGTTTCCAGGTTTATATCCTAACTCAGCATTACATGATACTACTCATTGCTGAACATAGGCCTTCTTCATAAAGAGGGTTTTCGCCTGTAGTTGGCAGGAGGGTTGGCAACCGCAGTTAGGCTTTGGTGATGTTTTAAGAGGGACGCTGCTGCCCATTCCTCGATCTGAGCTCGAATTAGTACACAGAATATTTTATATACTAATTCACGTGGATGGAGTTGCATATAATAAAAATTGAACGGATTTGGTAAATAAGCGAGTTTATATAAGCCTTGATTTTGGACAATAACCTGCATTCACAACAGATGGTAGTCGGACAAAATCTCTCCTTATAAAAACTGTATATTTGCACACACACACACACAGTATGCATTGTAGTACTGTATCATATTACATCGTTTACTAAGACTGGATTAAAATGTACACTTAAGATTTGTAACTTGTCAAATTTAAAGACCTAGACATTTTTTTTTATACAACTTAGAATGGCAAACAAGCTGACGGCCCACCTGATGGAAAGTGGTAACCGTCGCCTATAGACATGAGCAGTACCATGGACATATAGTCGAACAGAAAGGAAATTTTTGTCCATATACACTACAAGACATTTAAAGTTCATTTTAATAAAGTAATAAATTCATAGTTGATAGATAATAATGTAAAACAGTTAATAAAGTTAATACATTTTCTATTTTTTTCATTGCCCACTCTATCAGAACTTTCCTTTGTTCATAATAAGTTATAAACGAAGTAAAGTTCTGATAAAACAAGTAGTGAAATAATACAATATATTTTACAGTAATTTAGGAGCTTCGGAAGTGTTCTTGTGTTAGTACATGAGGGGAGCCCACGTTATTGGACAATGAAGGTCTAAACTCAAAGAAATAGATAGCAAGCAGATAAGTAGGTGTACCTAATTAAAACGTAACCTTCATTACATGATTGTATCATCAAATGTAAATTAAATAATTTAAATAAAAAAAAATTAACATATTCCGTTATAAATTAATAAAATTATTAAATTAACAGCATTTATAACAGAATATGGCAATGTCACAAGTACTTAACAATTTATAAAAAAAAAAAATTTTGGATGTTTCTGATTAATTATATAAAAAGTACTTCGATATTTTGTTTCGGAATATTACAATAACATTTTTGTCATTAAAATTCATTTTTTTATTAACCACTTTATAAGAATATTGTTGCATGGTTAAACGATTTAGTTCGCTAGCAGAGAACTTTTTAAATATTTGTCAGAAACATTGAAAACGTCTACGTTTATCTTTAATATTTTATATTTTTTGAAGTTGACGTGAGATTTTTGATTATCCCCCCCCCCCCCTAGGTATAAATGAGATTTGGTGAGAATTCATCAGACCCCTCCCCCCCCCCTATTCTGAGCTCACGTAATTAATGGATGCCCCCTTACAATATTCTCGTTATTTCTATGTTCATACCTATTCATCACGATGTATTCTGCAATATCCATTACTGGGAAGGGAAGGGATTGTTAGTTATGCGGACCAATACTAACAATAACAGTACATAACTTCTTGATACGAAAGAAATCAAAGTGTCCAGCTAAGTATTCAAACATCCACTAAACGGAAGGATACCGAACCGAGACAGAACAACTCTATATCAACTGAGACAAATGATAAACGTAAGTAATTCGATGCAAAGCACAGGCTTATTTACGAATCGATCGATGGCCACGAAGAATTTACGATCACTTCCATTCCTGCTCACATTTACTGTTATTCGAGTTTGAGCCGTCTGCCTATTTGCATAAGAACTTTGCGGTAGTTCAGATTTTGTTCGCAGTACGAATAGCTAGACTGAGAGATAGGCATCGACATTTTGTTTTTACGAAATTAAGCTAAAGCTCGTTTGTAATAAAGTAGATGTTGCCTAAATTAAGGGTAATTAGATAATATCTTATATGTAGAATTTTCACAGCAAAAAATAACGTCTTTTTCGTGACAAAATTAATATTAAAAAGCACCAACGGTTACAAACTATGTAATCACTACGTAATTTAGGAGTCGACACTATACTGACGAAAACGTTTACGAAATTTGAATAAGAATCTATGCAATCACCTGGCAGTATCAATATAATAAAATATAGTATATGTATTTCCTGTCAAATATAACTTGGATTCCTTCAAGAGAGGCGTGGAAAAGTGTTTATATAAGTCGGTGTAGTGTGGGCCGCAAATTAGATGCAATCTTACGTTGGACTTGCAGCCCACATAGATTTCATAATCACTTACTACCAAGTAAGCTATGGCATAAATGTTCAAATCATGGTATTATAAAAAAAATACTCCATCTAAAACACTGACATCGGTAGGTATCATAAAAGACCTAGGTACTTTATACAAGTACAGTAAAATTTTGAAATTGGTTTTAAAAATTTTCAAAATTAAAACAAATTTTATACAACATTTTTAATCGTGTTAACGTGAGCTTGCTGACTGATGAACGACGAGATATTTTGTAGACACCGTACAGCCCACCTGATGGTGAACAGTTACCAATGGACGCCTGCAACTTGAGTGTAACTTGTACGTAGCGAACCCTAAAATGCCCTTTTTGGATAACCCCATAGTTTCTTAGTGCTTAAACTTTAGTCTCTAGGGAAAACCTCGGCAGAGTTTAGCCTGTAAAAGCCATTAGTGATTAACAATATTAGAATTATGTATATTAAGAGTAAATACTA